ACTATATTGTAACAACATGCAAAATGTACTCTAACACCAGGAAAAAAAACAACAAAATATAACATCCTCTATAAACAAAGCACTCGAAGATAATGAAGAAAATATATAAAATATAATTAAATTCATAAAAAAAAACATATAAATTGTTTTAGAAAAAGTTAGACGGTGATGCGGTCGATATACAAAACCCTATATTGTCTGTTTATTACATTATTCTATGGATTAATGATTTTTAAAAAATGTCATTGAATTTTTTGATGAAAAATTATTTTTTCTCAGATCGGGTGGTTGAAAATACGGTAGAAATAATTTTTGATAGGTTTCTCATATGTTCGTCTGCCATGATGGTTTGTAATAATTGGTCGAGGGAGGAGATTCGTAGGTTGAGAAGATTTTGTGTAATTTCACAAATTTTCAAATTGAGAAGAGATTTTATTTTTACTTTTACTTTAAGGAGCAGGATGATAATTTAGAATTGAGTGATTTGGTTATCGTCAACTCAATTTTTTTTTTCATTAGTTCATAATCTCGGTCTTTCTGTATTAATATTTATTTCTTCTCTTTAATCATGCCCATATTACCTCATTAATTGAGCAACTTATTCTTAGACTAGGACTTATTAGAACCTGCTATTTGTTCGGGAAGGTGCCACTAACTGCCCTACACTATGTAGCAGGATGAGGACGCTTCGCCTCGCTTATACTCGTAGTAGCAGAGCCAATACAGAGTGTGCATAGCATCAATCGTTGCCCGACAACCTGATAACTGAAGTTATACATGATAAAAAAACTACGAGTTCCCGTCCAGAGAGTGCCAGGTGGGACTTTTAAATTCCCCGTCCTTACCTCCTGGCCCGGTAAAACTCCCTATATAGGCTAAATTACGAGGAAGGGAAGAATAAAAAAATAAAATAAATAAATATATAACAGATGTTAAAGAGAAACATAGCATCCACGAACCGTCCATATAGAAATATAAAAATGGATAAAATATCACTATAAGCATTTGTTTTCCTGAATTTCACCTAATAAGGTTCTGGGAGGAAAAAAATAAATAAAAACGAATAGAATTAATTACACACTCATATATATATATATATATATATATGTCATAACTAAAAATCATGTATTTTACAAATTTACTAATAACATAAGATTTTGATTAATATTTCTGATTTACCAGAGATCTGAGGAAAAAACGTCGGATAAAAATAATTAATTACAAATAAAGGTATTTCAAATTATTTTAGTTTAGTCCCTAGTTTATATAATGTCCCTAATTTATTTACAATTTAATTTTTTTAAATAGTCAACTGCTGAAATATCGTAACTAATAACTAAAAATCCTCGAATATTTTGTAAACATATATTTATATTGATTAATATTGTATTTTTATGTGCGGTGTTTTCCTGTATTCTGATGAATATCGAAGTCAGGCCTGCTCTTGATCTGTTCCAAGCTCTGAGAAGGTTGTTATAACAATTATTGAGTTATTTTATTTTATTTTTTAATAATAGGTTATTTATTGTTTATTATTATCTTTTTAAATTTTCTGATTTTATTTCTTTTTATTTTTTTATTTTAGATTAGATTATTTATCATTGTGTTATCATACGTAGGTAAATATTTTTTCTGTTTTTTCTATTCTATTGCAATCATGATTGTATGCAAATGCATTCTTCATATCAGCCTTATTTTTATTCTTCTTTTTATATTTTTGAACCTAAAAACACTTTAAATTTAACTCCCTAGCTATTGACCGACTAAATATTAAGGAATACGAGAAAAATTAACTTTTTAATTTTTAATTGTTTTTTTTTATTTTGTCGGGGAACATTTTTTTTCATAAAAAATGGTACAGATGGCCTATATCTGTGATAATAGTGAAACAGTAGATAAGTAAAAATCAATAGTTTTCAGGTAACGATTTAGACCCCTAATCATTCTAAAATTCTTATAGTTTAGTTTACATAACACTAAATTACACCATGACATTAAATGATGGTGATTTAATATTTTTCATCTGAAGTAGTGTTGCCCAAAAGCGAGACCAAGACGGGTCTTGGTCTTGGTCTTGGTCTTAGTCTTGGTGTTGGCAAGAGTCTCACAACAGTCTTCCAGTTCTGTATTAGTCTATTAAAATAGATATACTACTGTAATTTTTCTGATAGGGAAAACCTAACTAAGCCCGATCGAAAAAATTGGGAGTGTTATATTGTAAGTATATTGGTTATACAAATTCTTTACATATTATAACTAAAATTGTCAAGTATTAGTAACTATTTTGCCTTAATTTTTATAACAAAAACGATTGTTTTTTACCAGTCTTGTTCTTGGGTTTTGGGCAATACTAATCTCAAGAAATTCTTTTTAATATCATAAACTAATATTTATGTTGGTCCTTAATTTAGCTAGTTTTCACCACTGTCACAGATATAATACTACGACACCTGATTAATTAGTTAACAATTTTCAGAAATTTACTGTTTATTACCTTTTTAAGATACTGCTGTAGCCTAATTAATTCTTAAGTAATCTAACTAATTCCTAAATTAAGCTTTTAACGTCTAAAAGCTAACAAAGCCCAAACTATATATTTTAATTTATTTTTAATGTCAGTTACATTCTAGCAAAGTTAATGCAGTCACAAATGTCCGTTGACAAGAATAAAAAGTCGAGCTATATCAACAATCCAAAATCACAAATATGTATTTAAAATCCATACCAGAAAGTGTAGACAAAATAATAATCATCATTTTTCTTTTAAAAAATTTAATATTATATGAGATGATTTCCTAAACGCCAAAGAATCACGGATCTTCTACGGTAGAGATTATAAAAACCAAAAAGTAATTTAATAAAGCTTTTTACATAAGTTCATTATATTGGCCTTTCTTTGGCAACCAACCTTTTATATGAATTTACTTACCCTTCTTCTCTTTAATGTACTAATTAATTAACTAATTACCAAGAAAAAAAAGTTTTCCAAAATCGATCGGCAGATATAACTTTTCGTTAAACTGGGCACTGTAGTATTAGAATCATATTTCGATATTTTTTTTTATCAATATATATGTATATATATATGTATATGTATATGTATATATATATAAAGAAAACTTAATTGCAAAAAAATATGTATACATATTGATGGTTATAAATACACGTCATTATTAATTATATATTCTTTCAATTGATGGAAATAAATTTGAGTGGAAGCGAATTATTTCTGGACCTACTGTACATTTTTGCACTAAATCAGTCCTAGTTATTCGGTATTTCTATTATGATGTACCGATTTCGAAGTAAATATTGTATATTTATTCTATACAAAATAAAATACAAAAATTCTTCAAGAAGCGCATGTTAGTCACGTTGCTAAAAAATGCAGCATATTTATTTTTGCATATAATCACAAAATCTTTTAAAACAATTTTTTTAACATATACTTAAAAGAATAAGAATAAGAAAACGGGTTACATAAATAAAACAGATAGTAACATGGAAGAATAAAAAGTATTATTATTATTAAATAATTAATTAATTATAAATGTTTTTCATTCAATTCGTTTTTATTATCCAGGTAACTTCAGATTTTCATTTTTTAGGAACATCAAATAAAAATCCTGTATTTTTAAAATAAATTCATTATTTTATATTTTAATAAAGAACATAAAAAATAAAATCAATATGCCATACCAAATTTAATAAGACTGAAAAACCATTAATAAAAATATTAAATGTTTTTCATGTTAGATATTGCTAGTTCTGCCTTTTCCCCCTGTAGAAACTGAATAAATCTATATTTTATATATATTCCTTGGTAAACAAGAATGTTTACCATTTGTGAATAAAGTTTTTTTCGAAACCCCTTATGAAAAGTGTTCTCACTATTATTGTGCTAAGAAATATATTGAAGTCACTATTGTGGTGAAATTCATATTCTCTGTTAGGTAAATAAGGATTAATATCCTATGATTCATATATATTTTAAAAACATTCAAGAACATAAAGAGAAATACCTCTAAATTATTTATCATTAGTCATTGAACAAAAACAAAAAAAAAAAACTGAAGAGCTGGACGAGAATTATCTGTAAACAACTTGAACAATACATATTCAGCTCCTTCTCTTAAAGATCAAGTTTTATTTTAAATTAAAACTACAAAAATAATACAGATTTGTTTTTTAAATAAGCGAAAATCAAAACTTTTGTTCCTCCCCATTATAAAATTAACCCTGATATTTTGATGATTTTTTTAAATATCTTATATTTGAAAATATCATATAAATCAATGGTCCTTAAAATAGGATCCGCAAAACAATTATTGGGCGTTAGCGAAACCATCAAAAATTAATAAATAAAACTAAATTTACTGAAACTAATTTACACCCACGCAACTGTGATATATAGATTCAGTAAATGTATTACCTAAAATCAACTTTTTTCATTCTATAATCATTTTAAAACATCCCAAAGGCATACCAGTACATTATTTTACGTATTAGCTACAAATACCAAGTTGTTATGAACAGTTGAGAAACTACTCTATGAAAATTTACATAGATAGCTTAATATATTTATAATATATACAATTTATTTATATATTAATAATTACATTAAAATTTAGAATTTTTTCTTCAAATAATAGATTAAAAAAAGAATAGATTTCCATTGTTCATTTCCTAGAACAGCTTCCCTTCATAGTAGTTTTTATTTATTTTTTTATTCGAGAATAATTATACTTACTAAAAAAAACAGAATATCAATAAACTGTTTAATTGCATATTTAAAAAATTATTGCTCAGCGAATATATGAATTTATTATAAAAATATTATTCATCAATTGACACTTATGTACTTTGGAGCAAAAACACCCAAGTCAAAATTAAAATGAGCTTGACAAAAAAATCGAGGTTCGGTATTAATTGTTAAAGATACAGATGTTTTGTTTCTAAATACAGATTTGTGTATAATATGAAGTAGTATATTTATAAATTCTGAAATGCCATGTTGCAGGTATAGGCAGACAAGATTCAGTTCTCGCAGGCTGAGGCGAAGGGTTGTACTTAAGCATGGTGATTGTAATGTAATACAAGGGAAGGTGGCCAAACGGAGGCGGAGATATTTACAGGTGAGTTTGCTAGTTAACTAATTCATATATATATATATATATATATATATATATATAATATTACAATGTTTTTTTAGAATTCGACCTTTATATATTCTAACTTAAGATATGAATTATAGTCGGATAATATTTCATGACCTATTATCCGACTATAATGCATATCTTAAGTTATATATATATATATATATGTATGTGTGTGTGTGTGTGTATGTATGTTTCCGGACTCCGATAGTGCGAACATTCTCGTAATCCAACTCACAAAATATATTTTTTAAAAATTAGAAAAAAAAAAAGAAACACAAAATGCAAGAAACAAATTTTAAGGAAGGTCGTCCGTCTCTCAAGGGTGTTAACAAACTGACAACTTGAAGCATATCATCGTCATTAAAGGTCATTAAAGGCAGCGCACGCCTAATGAAAGGGTGAAACGACTGAAAACAGCTCAACGCTACATACCCGAGTGAGAAAAGTAAAGACATTCGTACCTGTAAATTGTATACATTTTAAAAAAAGACTGAAAATTTAACCTCGTCGGTTGAAAAAAAATAATGTATTGAAGAAAAAAAAGAAACCGTTAGAGCATCTAAAAATATCAAAAACATTTCCATCCGCTCTGTTACACCTTCCATTGTTTGATTTTACGAACTACCGACTCCTATTACTGTTACTGTCGGAATGAACTATTCCACATAAGGGACTATTGATATTTTTTTTCGATAAACATTCTGTATATATATATATATATACATACATATATAATATTACAATGTTTTTTTAGAATTCGACCTTTATATATTCTAACTTAAGATATGAATTATAGTCGGATAATATTTCATGACCTATTATCCGACTATAATGCATATCTTAAGTTATATATATATATATATATGTATGTGTGTGTGTGTGTGTATGTATGTTTCCGGACTCCGATAGTGCGAACATTCTCGTAATCCAACTCACAAAATATATTTTTTAAAAATTAGAAAAAAAAAAAGAAACACAAAATGCAAGAAACAAATTTTAAGGAAGGTCGTCCGTCTCTCAAGGGTGTTAACAAACTGACAACTTGAAGCATATCATCGTCATTAAAGGTCATTAAAGGCAGCGCACGCCTAATGAAAGGGTGAAACGACTGAAAACAGCTCAACGCTACATACCCGAGTGAGAAAAGTAAAGACATTCGTACCTGTAAATTGTATACATTTTAAAAAAAGACTGAAAATTTAACCTCGTCGGTTGAAAAAAAATAATGTATTGAAGAAAAAAAAGAAACCGTTAGAGCATCTAAAAATATCAAAAACATTTCCATCCGCTCTGTTACACCTTCCATTGTTTGATTTTACGAACTACCGACTCCTATTACTGTTACTGTCGGAATGAACTATTCCACATAAGGGACTATTGATATTTTTTTTCGATAAACATTCTGTAAAATTTCGAAGTCAGATATTGCATAATTAATTATGTGTAACAATAATTATCTACTGGTTCAGGTAGAAATTCAACCTTTCTTACTTCGTAGCTTCGAGATTTTAAATGTGTCAACTTACGAGTAAATATTTCAGGAAGGATAGAAATGAAACATAACCATTCCTAACAAATCGAGCATAATATTAAATTTAAGGTTCATACGCTTTAATTTTTTTTCGGAGGTATTCCAAAATTAAATCTTTTATGGACTCTATCGTTTATGGTCCGAGACGGCCACTGTGCAGCAGTACAAAACCCATGAACGAGCATCAACTTATATCTGTACAGCGGTATTAGACATCCTGAAAATCCCCTTTATCATTGACCTTATTAAATATAATTACTGTTTTCTCAAAAATTTGTCTCCTTTACGATGGTGTACTTATAATTTTCTTATCTTAAACGGTTTTTGAGTAATTATTTCTTATTTAATAAAAAACGTGACCTCACAAAATTGGTCTTAGCTCCTTTTCCGTTCGTAATCGGCCCATGCATCAAATGAACTTCTTGTTGGAAATTTTGTCTAGAATCATCCTATTCCCCTCCCCACCATAGTTTGGCTATTAAGAATTGAGACTCCCTGTATATATATTAGCACTTCACAATGTTTGAAAGGAATAAAAAGTACTTATTACAAAACGTGCCGTGCGATAATGTGAGATAAATTCTTAAATATTTAAGGGAGTGGTTTGTATTATTAACATTTTAAAAAAATAATATATTATTTTTCATTAAACATTATCATGGTTACGCTGATCAGGTTTCCAAAAACTATTCTTCCCGAAACGAATACATTTATCTTTCAGGACATCTTCACAACCTTAGTGGACGCGCAGTGGCGTTGGACCCTTTTGGTGTTCGCGATGAACTTCCTCCTGTCCTGGCTGGGCTTCGCCATCCTCTGGTGGCTTATCCTCTTTACCCACGGTGACCTTGAACCGGCGACTTCTAGGAACGAAACGTGGACACCCTGCGTCCGGGATGTCACCTCCTTCACTGGCTGCTTTCTCTTCAGCGTCGAAACTCAACATACGATAGGTAGGTTCATTATTTAGTAATACTGAAATGATCATTATAGTCTCTCTTAGTCTTAAGGAAACCGATAGTTGATACTCCATCATCACTACATTTGATTATTAAAGCATATATCTTTGCATTTTAGTTATTTACATGCATCTTTGCATTGGTATGTTACTTGTTACATTGAAACAGTTGTATACTTATATGTATTGCTTACTTTTTAGTTACTCATTTGTTGTAATAATTCTTACTAACAAAATCAATATTTATATGTCTATACACCATGATTACCCTTAAGGGTCTTGAGAATGAAGTTGATTTTTATATTCTATTCCACCCTTTAGCAGTTTGTGAATATTTAAACAAAATTTGCGAAAAACTAAACAACGTTTTTATATATTTTTAATTTTAAGGCATTTAAATGAAAAAAACATCCATGGCTGATACAAATTGTTTTCTATCAGTCAGGTAGTTAAGTAAATAAAGAAAAATAAATATGATTCAAATTTACTTTTTATACTTTTTCTAATTTTTACGTGCTCGCATACTTTCCTTCCCTCTCAGTAACGTCCAATAAGGTAAATAAATAATTGTTTATAAAAGGCGTTTCAGTGCCATCAAAATTAATTAATTAATCCAAATGTTAAAGATAACATAGTCAAGTGTTTTAATTTTTGATTTTAAGATCTTAACCTCACGAGCTCCTCAATTTCTAGTGTATGCTTTCGATGGATGCAATGACGAACGTCTCGTCCATAAAACACACGTGTGATCCAGTCTACCTCCGTGTTGTAAGATTTAGCTGAGATAGGTCACAAGGGCACCTTCTCCTTGGTAAAATGCCATTGGCCTCTATCCTTCCTCAGTATTTTATACTACCCCTTTAATCAAGGAACGTCAAAGGGCTGAGAAGTAGATTTGAGTCACGTTTACTTCTCTTTTATGAAACGTGTTCGCTAAGCATCACGTGATCTCAGTCAAGTGTTGATTTATAGGTCAAAGCAAGCATTTGAAAAGCATTATTTTATCGATTCACAATGAATCTATAGAAAATGAAATTCTATATACAAAATAATTTTTATTTTATTCTCATAGTTACCTTGCTTGCGCATGTTTGAAATTTTAATATTTTCCTTTTAAAAACTTCCATAAGCTTCAAATATGTCATCAAATACATTATTTGAACTCCAATAAATTAACATTAGATTTTTTTTATTATGTTATCATTTTTCATAAATGAATTTTTTTTTCTATAAATATTAATCCATGCTCGTTAAGAATTCGATTAAAATCAGTAAACGATCATAGATAAAGATAATATAAAATAATAATATTGAAGGAGAGGTGCAGTACTTCTTCCTAGATTTATTGTTAACTGTTGTGCAAAGAGCAAATTTGACCTAGGTCACGCTCAGACACCAGATTTCCTTCCTTAATTAATTATTTAATTAAGGGCACCCACTTTATAGAGACTGGGCGTGCTCTAGGAGGGTCTCCCAACTCCAGGGTCAACGAACCAGAATAAATAATTTATCTGCCATCAGCTGGATTCAAATCTTGGCCCTCGAGCATTGGAAGTCAACGCTCTACCATTGGGATACTCCACTCTCCTAACTACTGTATACTATTATTAATATATAACTATTATATATTAAATAACCAAATGCAACAAATTCAACTGACTACAGAATCATCAACATTTCTCTCAACTTAAAATATTTAGAAACACAAGGCAAATAATTATTTCTTTAAATAATGAATTGTCGGTGGTATACAAATTATAATTTAGTAAATATTTTGTAAGAAACATTCCAGCAGTCACTTAGTTAATGTTGCTTTATCATGAATACCAATGGTACAGTTTTCTGTTGTCAGTATAAAATAGAAATTATAATAAAATAAAAATAGATGAAAAGATAAAAACAAAATTTATTTGTATATTCTTGTAGGATATGGTGCTAAACACACGACCGAAGAGTGTCCTGAAGCCATTTTTGTCATGTGTTTGCAGTCATTAGTAGGCGTAATGATTCAAGCATTTATGGTAGGAATAGTTTTTGCCAAGTTGTCCAGGCCGAAAAAGAGGACGCAAACCCTGCTGTTTTCGAGGAATGCTGTCATTTGTCAAAGGGATGGTCAACTCTGCCTCATGTTTAGGGTCGGTGACATGAGGAAAAGCCACATTATTGAAGCACATGTTCGAGCTCAGATCATCAGTAAAAGGGTAATTTATTTTAATAAACCCAATAGTTCTTGTTACATATTTTTGAAAATGCTAGAATATTACTTTATTTAATAATGTTTATTTACATAAAATAATAGATGATATGAAATTCAAAATAAATTATTAGACCAGGAAATTCAACATTAAAAATATAATGTTTTATTGATTTGCTACTGCAAAATGCTTCTCATAGTATAATTCCTTGCCTTACTTATTATTAGCAAAAGCAAACAAGGAATACAAATAAAAATCAAAAGAAGAAAAGCTAAACCTAGATTACCCTTTTTTGAATTATATTATAAATAAGAAATGTCTCCATTCTAATTCTGTCTCCAGGTAACTAAGGAAGGTGAAGTACTTCCTTTTTATCAATATGAGCTCAAAGTGGGGGGAGATGGTGAAGAAGATAAAATCTTCTTTATCTGGCCTACAACTATCGTGCATAAAATCACCCCAGACAGCCCCCTCTATACTCTCTCTGCTGCTGAAATGATGAGGCAGAGGTTTGAGATTGTCGTCATACTTGAAGGTAAGGAAATATTTCATATTTGACTTACATTTTCACACTTTTTTTTTTTCATTAATGTCAGGCAAACCTCAAATTATTACAAAAATATTGCATGTTTTTTAAAAATATAAATTAATGTAAATAGTGTATGTAGCTTATATGAGAAGGAGTTAGTCGAGGGTGCGGTCAAATAAATAAAAAAATTAAAATATATAAATAATTTTAATTTTTGCCGACGTTTCGACCCACTTTGCAGGTTGTCTTCAGGGCGTAAGATGTGGCACTGCGGGAGGCAGTTGAAACATTGCAGGAGGTTGCAAAACGTCGGCAAAAATTAAAATTATTTATATATTTTAATTTTTTTATTTATTTGACCGCACCCTCGACTAACTCCTTCTCATATCATATCAACGGTCAACCATCTCTACATCATTATGTATCTTATAGATGTATAAGGGCTGAGCATTTCTGGTTTTTATTAAATGAGGAAGCGGTTATAGAGGATATAGAGACACGCGACATTGCTGAAGAGGATATACCTAACTATATTGGAGATATCGATTTATTAGTTGAAGAAATAATTGATGCAATTTTTTGCATGAAAGGATATAAGGCACCGGGACCAGATGGATTGCCAGCCGAGCCCTTCAAGTATGGGGGAGATGACTTGCATAGATCACTGTTGGATATAATCCTGACAATTTAGGACCAGGAAAGAGTTCCACGACAGTCCATAAGAAAGGAGACCAACTTGATTTTATAAACTACCGTGTTATAGCCCTGTTGTCTTGTGCCTACAAGATCCTCTTGAATATCCTTTTCAGCAGACTTACCCCATTTGCGGAATAGGAAATCGGGAAATACAAGCTGGCTTCTGGAAGGGCAGATCCACTGTTGATCAAGTGTTCACCCTCAGGATAATTTTCAAACGTGGTCATGAATATAAAATCCCTATACACCACCTGTTTGTCGTCTTTAAGAGTGCATATGACAGCATCAAATGACCTAAGCTGTAAGTGGAGTTGAGAGAAATGGGCATCCCAAGTGAAATGATGCCTCCCGTGAAGTTGACAATGAAAGATGTAACATATCAGGTACGGATCCAATTTGACTGCTCTGATGCATTTGCCTCCAACAAAGGATTAAGACAGGAGGTTGCACTGTCCTGTTTCCTGTTCAAGCTTGCACTGGAGAAAGCTGTATGAGATTCAGTAATCCAGACAAACTACACCATATTCATCCATACTGTACAGATATTGGGATACGCTGACGAACTGGTTATCGTGGCCAGGAGCCGATCGGAATTGATAGAAGCCATAATTACCAATTGTCTATAGTTTCATTCAGTAAGCTGGAGTCCGACAAGGAGGAGTCCTATTATCTGAGACATATGATATGAGACCAAGAAATATTATTCTAGTCTTTTATGTTGTTTAAATAGAAAAAGAGATGGATATGGTGCACAGACACCGAAAACTATTCTGAGAATAAAATAGTAAAAAAAGTATAGAGACTGTCATTGTTAAATTCTTGATCTACTTGATTTATTGTTTTTAAATACAACAAAAAAAATAATATGAACTATGATCTGATTTAACATAAAATTGTATTTTTTGAATTTTAATTGATGTCTAAAACATTACTTCTATAAATTACCAGTCAAAGTAAGTAGGAATCTAGATGAGATTCTTTTTAAATGCAATTAGAAATTGCCTTTGTCAAAATTTAAATTGTTTTATAACCGGGACTAACTTAGACCATCAAGGGCACCCATGATTTGTAGGGAATATAAAAAAATTAGAAAGCTAATGACATACATTAATTGAAGCATATTAATAAGATAACTAAATTAGAGACATATTGCAAAAAATGCAATTTAAATATAAACTTAATGCTGACAGATCCTAGAGATGAGGAGGAGACTAAAAAGGCTGTTGGATGAGAGATCTCCTTCCTTCAGCAATCTAAGTACTTTAAACAAGTCAGGGAAGAGGTGCTGCTGAGTACTTTCCTTCTCGATGTCTGACATGCCATTTATATAATGTATTTCCAGCAGATTTGCTGATTGTTAACAAAAAGTTGACAGGTGCAAATAATTATTTAGCAGAAAAAAAAAAGAAAAAAAAATTATATATATATATATATAATATTCCCATGTGACTAATATTCTTATCAAAGTTTATTTAATTTAATTTTCTTATTGAGAGAGAAATAATGTAAGAAAATCTTACTTTTTCAAAAATGAATATTTAAAAATTATTATCAAAATTGGTAATTCACGAATTCTTTTTACACAAATCTGAATTGTTGAAATTGAATTGTATATAATTAGGTGAGTAGGAGGAGGAAAGCAATCAGTGGATTTTGTATTTTCATAGTTTTATGTAATAAGAAAAAGCTATTATCTTTTAAATGTTTGACATCCTCTTTGTATGGGAGTATGAATAATTTTATTTCCAATTATTCCAATAATGGCTATTTTAAAATTAAATACTTCAGTTTTGGTAAATGTTGCGATTTTTTTTTAATATATATTTTTTTAACAAAATACTGTTTCCTTTTCAATACTATTTAATTTCGAAATATTTCAATGTTGCATCTGATTACATCATTTATTAGCAAGTTTATAGCATTACCTATTTCAAGTAATAACAAATGCTTTACTTAAAAAGATGAAACCCATCAATTGCTTGAATAATTTTCATGATAATGGAAAAAAGAAACCCTACTTTCATGAGAATACAAAAATATATTGGATACAGTTATTATTGGAGAACAAATGAAAATTGTCATGCCATAAGACATATAAATACCAATTTAAAGTAATGTTTTATTATTATTAATTAGCACCTTTGAAAAATAAAAAACTACAATTGCTAGCTTTGAAAAATCAAATGTGTAAAGGGATAAGTAACATTTTGAATTCCTTCTTGAAAATTTTTATTGAAATTAAATTAATCAGAACTTTGCCTTATAGTAGATACAGCTATTAGAAAAATTGGTTCATGGATGACCACCTCTATCAATACGGATATAGACCAAATATTGACTTTGTATGAATGGAAATAAGAAATATTAATAATAAAGGACTTTATCCTTTATTATTAGCAAAAATTACTTTTTTCTTTCTTAAAATGCACTTATCTTCATTAGGTGATTCTTCAATTATTTTCATCCTTCAACTATCTTCATTCTGATCTTTCGAATTTTTTGATGAAAACGTAAATATTAGAATTATAGTCAGAAAATAGGAACATTTAGTTGTTCACTTCATACTCTAAAGGCCAATTCTCACTTTTAAGATCTGTATATAAAGCTGCTTTGAGCTATCACAGAATTTAGCCATACTTAAATGCATCCTTAAAATGGTTTTAGCAAAGATAAATTCTGCTTTGAAGATAATTTTATCTAGTTTACTATTGTTAAATTCTTAGTTTCACCATATTTTGTTATTACTCTCTATTCAAACAAAAAACATGACATTTGAAAAAAAAATTTTAATTTCCAGCTTTTCTATGTAGAAGCCTCTCTTGTTCTATAGGGTGTTTTTGTTGATCTTGAGGTCTACTATGATCTCTTAATAAATTTCTTATTATTTACAGAATAAGTAATATAACTGACAGAAATCCATAGTTATAAGTTATTAAGAAATATTAGAGAAACATTCAAATTATCTTCTTTTTTAATACTGAATGTGTAAATATTTTCATTGTATAATGTAGACTTAACATGAAAAGATTTTTATTATTTCTTAACGAAATGAAACAAATAATCACATTTATTTAATACGTTGCAGTTGTAATTTGCTTTTATTAGTTTTAGAATTAATAAATGAGTTAAAAATAATAAGTGTTAGGATTTATGTTAGACTAAGGAGAGAGACTAAACATTCAGGTAATGTTTTGTTTGCAGGAGTAATAGAATCTACAGGTATGACTACACAGGCACGGTCAAGCTACCTTCCATCAGAAGTTCTGTGGGGACATAGGTTTGAACCTCTTGTATCGTTCAAGAAGGAAACCGGAGAACATGAGGTAGATTACAGTCTGTTCAATAACACATATGAAGTTGATACACCTCTGTGTTCTGCACAAGCATTGGATCAGTTAATGGGAGTCACTCCTACACCAAGCAATGGTAGCGTACACATTAAATTATGTTATATGTTATAATCTATGCCATTACTAAGAAGTCACCAAACAATTGTTGAGCCATTTGCTAAGCTTGTTTAACTTTTAACTGTTTTATATGGAATTGATATTTTGTATTAGCACATGCCTTAATGTAATTTACATTGCTTTCAAAATTTGTAAAATGTTGATGTTCGCTTGAGAATGTAATTTATGGAGGTAACATTCAGAATTTGGTCAAGCATCAAGTTGAAAAAAAAAAAAAAAACTGAAACTGTTAAAAAGATTTTTTATTCTATATTTATATTTCATTGGTTAATTTGATTTTTTTTCCTATGATCACATTAATAATTATCATTTTTATTAAAGAGACATTTATGTTTATGGATAACACTTGGGTGCAGGGACTAATAATTAAATAATTTATTAGGTTTTATTTTACTACTTTGTGTAAAACTAAGCTTTAAAGATTTTTTCTGATTTTAGCCAAAAAGTTACTTAACTGTAAAGAACCTAGAAGATTCTTTGAATAATTATGTTTTATATAAGCTTTAAATTTATTAAATCAGTTTTGTTTTCTATGAAGATTGTAAAAACAAATGATTCATGAGGTATGCACTTATTTATTTTCAGACCATTAAATAAAAACGACTTATATAATAAATTTAGACAAAGGGGAATGGAAGAATGAGTAAATTTCATTATGAATACAGAACTTTCTGCTTGAATTCACTAATTTTATGGTAGTTCTTGCAAATAACGATATCAATGAAATTGAAAATTCAAATCTAAGAGGAGGAGCTAGATAAAATAAACATATTAAAAACAAAGAAAAAAAATCATGATTGAGAAAAAACAACCAAAGAATCACATGGTTAATTAGAGTTACCAATTGTAGGTTGGAATCAGTAAACCGCTGCAGTATCTAGGGCTAGTATCCAGCAACTAGACACCTTAATGAAAATGGTTAGAGCAATGTAGAGAACTAGTTTAGCTCAAAAAGTCTCAATGTTATTAAGGGGAAGTTTTTTAATATAAGATAAACTACCAAAAGCACCATTAAATAATTTTTATTCATGTATAATAAAATTAAAAAAAAAAGTTATTGTCGAAAAAAGAATCATACATATCACATCGATGCTTTCAATAAATAATACATTTGTGTAATTTTACCCTTATTTCATTCTACTCTTTTGTATATATATAAATTGTCCTTAACGTAAATTATTTTAAGATATTCCATAATACTGAATGTTCCTTCATAGGATAAAACTAATTCATAATTGAATTAATTACAACATAATAATATTACAGCAGTATTGTTAACAATGATTTCCTCTGGGTGAAGTTCGTTTGTTTATTTATTTTTTCTTTTGTCAATTTTGTATAACATACTTATTATATGCATGTATTATTTTATTTTTAGCACACTAGGACACAATAATGTGACTAGATGAATTTCCATGATTGTGGAACACTTTTAGTGAACTCAAATATTGAATTAAGATCACCTAATAAATCCAGTCGGTTTAAGATAATATTTTATTATTTTCATTAGTTGATTCTGAATAACAAAATTAATGATTAATTATTAAAAATTCCAAATTTTCATTACTAAACTTTTGAAAGATTCAATGCTGGTATATTTGGAAAACAATACTTGGCTACCACTATTGATTTTATTTAAATAAAAAAAAATGATGGGTCTTTGTTCATCATAGTTATAACAAATTATAGCTACTTCACAAAAAAGCAAAATTTATAGTTAAAAATTGGTTTTCTGCATGTTTATCAATTTAATCATTAACTTATCTTTTGTTTTAATCAGAATTAATTTGATTTCCTTCAAATAAATACTTTTATTAATCAATGTGTTGATTTTTACAATTCATAGTCTATTTCTATGTTATTTATATGTTTATTATACTTTTAGTTTTATTTAAATCTTTGCTTATAGTCAGTTTCAACGATTAATTTTTACACTCATTTCCAATGAAGCCTTTGCTATTTATAAATTAATTTCCATAAGAATAAAACAAATAAACACTAAAGAGATTTAAGTTAAAAAAAAGATTAATAACTGAAAAATTAATGTAAAAACTGACATCAGTCAAGGTTTAGAAAAACAATTTTTTTTTTTTTAATCTATGTAACTTTTCTTGATAGAATAAATCTGTTTCAAATTTTTAAGTTGGAAATGTAGCTTGTTAAAAACAAATTTAAATTATTAAGTGGTCCATATATGAGTTAAAATGCCTTAATTTTGATGGTTTTACAGAAATACTTTATTGAAAGTAATGTGTTGCTCTACAACATAGGGCTGCTTCATACATAGCATACTTGTCTATCCATATGGACATAACTATTACATTACATTTATATATATATACATATATTTATACATAGGGTGTTTCAGGATTTAGTGGCCAAATTGAAAATAAAAACTAAGTACCTCAAAATGAAAAACAAATTTCCTTTGAAGGTATGTCCGCAAACGCTTAGTTTAGGAGATATTCACACCTAAAAATTTTCGTTGTTATGAATTATTTACGTTATATGAAATAATTAAAACCTTTAATTTGTTCTAACTACTTTATTAATTAAATGTAAAGAGTAACATTCATATTAAATGTTGTGTGTCCGCAAACAACAATATTTTAATAGGTCCGCATTATTTGCCACCTCGACTCAATGCGCCATATTTCTGGAATTTCTTAATAATGATTACTATGATTTAGTTGAACATATTCCACTACAACTGAGAAGAGATATGTGGCTCATGTGGTCCATGAAAATGGCTAAATGTTAATTATCCCAATCAATGGATTGGCCGTGGAGGACTAGTGACTTGGGCTGCATGCTCTCCAGACCTGACCCCACTGGATTTTTATGTTTGGGATGACGTAAAACAAAAAGTCTATGCGATTCCAGTCAATAACCTTAATTCCTTACGAAGAAGGATAATTGAATCTTGTGAAACAATAACACATATCCATTGCCGTTCTGCCATTGCTGCTGTTGAAGAAAGATGCCGAGCCTGTCTTAGTGCTCAAGTAAATCACTTTGAACAACATCTAATATGAATGTTAATATTTAATTAATGAAGTATTTAGAACAAATAAATAGGTTTTATTTATTTCATATAACTTAAATAATTCATAAAAACGGAAATCTTTAGGTGTGAATATCTTCTAAACGAAGCGTTTTCGAATATACCGCCAGAGGAAATTGTTTTCTTGTTTTGAGGTCCTTAGTTGATATTTTCGGTTTGGCCACTTAACCCTGAAATACCCTGTATATATACATATAGTTTTTTCTTCTCCCTTTTCATAACACTAGAACTATAAAGCATCAACAATAAACCATATCAAACTATTATCATTGCATAACATATATTTTCCAAAAAAAAAATTATATATTGCATCATGCAGCTGCAGGAGATATGTTTAACATAAACAAATCTTTATAAGGAAATTAAATGATACTTTTTCCTTTTCAAAATTTAGTAGAATGCTAAGAAAAATATTTTGTTCATTGTACAACATTTAAATTTTTAAGAAGAGAAAAAATATTATAATGCATTCTGATTAAACAATATTTATTAGTTATACATATTCCTGTCTCACAATAAATTTGCAATCTACCTCGGTATTCAGCAAATATGATATCAAGGAGAAGAAACGATAGCATAAAAAAAAGAATAGTAATAACAAAAAAAAAAGACAAAAAAAGCCAAAAAAAAAAAAAAAAAAAAAAACAGTAGTAAAATAACACATACATAATAACATAATAACACTCACATACACACACACACACACACACAAAGATAATGCAGCAAGTAGCTGAATGCAATAAGTCTCTTGTCCAGCGCCTCAGCAGTCTTCTGGTTTGAAACATAACGTGAGGTTTGAAACATAAAAGAGTGTGTCTACAATTTTCCGAAGGACTTTTGACTGGAATGACTGGATGATTTTTATATTTGATTTCTTTACTGATCCCATATGTCCAAAGTGGTTGATGTTTTAAAATGTTTGAGACTATTGTTATTAATCTGCAATCAATATCATTTTTTTTTTAATGATAAAAAAGCCCTTCTATATTTCATTTCTGTCTCGTGATGTTAAAATGAATTATTATTGTTAGTAGTGTTATTTTTTTTCTCACCTTACTGCTTTTTCTGAACTGGTGCCTGTAGGAAATTGCTCCAGCTGTTCCTTAGTTACAGTTTGTGTCATATTTCTTACAAAGGTGGTTGAACGATTTTTTTTTTTTCATTCAAATAAGTCCTAAAGAAATAAGGAAATAAGTATAAAATTACTTTAAAAATGATTTCTATCAAGCCATAATTTCAATCGACTTCAGGAATAAAGATTGGTGGTGTTACATTACTATATGTATCTAATTTAATTCTCATGCGTCAACTTTAACATCCTCTTTATATATGCAATAACTCTAAAACTTTTGAATTCAGAATAACACAATATGAAGAAACATCAATAGTTTAAGACATTTTAATTTATATTTGGAGAAAATCGAAACTGTAAAAATTTGTAGAAAATTATCAATAATTAGTTGAAAAAAGAATAAATTGAAAATTTAAAGTTCGGACAGATTATTTCGATGGGTCATCCCATCCTACCGAAAGTTACAATAGAAGATTTCACTCTGTCTAGGTGGTAACTTCCAGGTAGGGAGGAGCCTGTCGTCAGAAACCCCGGACCTGACCAGTATGGACTCCGGGAGTATTTCATGTGAAAAGACTGTGATGAACCACATAGGTGGCAATGACATTCCAGGGCCTGAATCGCGGATATGACCTCTGCATCGTTGGTGAGTTCATATAATTTTATAATATCTTTCTATTGGTTTTATAAGTAATTGGAAATTAATTAATTTTTATTCATTTATATCTTTCGTTTAGTGTTTACCTGTGCTAGCAACCTATATACATTACTTTTATACTATAATTTAATTTCATGAATCCTAAAATTGTTCAGTGGATGAATCTTGACTGTAATATTTATTTTTTTATGGATCAATTTTCAATATCAATTGAGGATAATTATTTCTTCTACTTGTGTGAAATTACTGTACATTTGCTACCATTTATGAAGTTTGACTAAACATTTAAAACTAAATTCATTATTATTATTATTTGCATATGTAGACACAAAGATTTGATTTATCTGTTGAAACTTATCGATAAGGAGTAATCAAAAAGTTGTTCCATAATTAATATTAATTAATCAATAATTAATTGATTTTTTAAAAGTACATATGGGTTTTTTTATCTACTTAACTTGCTATTTAAAATCATTCATTTTATTTTTTCTTATGTGTTTTTAAATTTTGTAAAATAATACAGATTAATCCTTAATATGATATAAAATATAATTTATATCCCGGAATTTCAAATATAAATTTTTAATTTATTTTACAGAACAAATTCAATTCATCTTGTATTTTTTTTTTTTTAAATTTACTTTATTTTCCTTATCATAATACCTTTGTCTTATAATAAATACGAATTTCGATTCTTGGGTTCAACATACTTGCTTAGTGTGTCATATTTAAAGTTTGAAATACCTTCACAATTTTCTTTTAATTTAGTTGACTGTAACTAAGTACTAATAGTATAATGAATGATAAATTTAAATTCAAACAGTTTAATTTTTTTTTTTTTTTTTTGTTTTGTAAATTCCAAACATACGAGATTTATCATGTAGTCTCATTCAATAGAAGCCATATTTGATCAGGAATATGTTATAAAATTAATGTTATTGACCTGTGATGTAACAAAAAATGGTTCATTAAACACAATATTTACTAGCGCACAGACAAAATTCTGCGAAAGAAAAACAAAAAGTATATTCTGACTTCTTGTACAACAACAAACAATTCAAAATCACTGATCCCACAAAGGTGTGGGACTGTATCTGTATTAATCAGGAGGGGGATTTACAAACCATTCCTATAGGGATCCGATATTAGGAACTTCTAAAGTTATTGATATATATTATTTAATAATACACATCTTTATGTCTAGGACCTGTAAGGTGGCAATTAAGTTGGCTTTCTCTATTTCGCGTGGATCGAATGAAAAATAAATTATCAATGAATATAACGGAAGAATTAATGATGTTTTGAGGTAAAAATCTTTCTAAGAATTTTGCCTTTTTGGTTCAGTTCTCTGGCTTTGTTAGAAACATATCGTCGGAAATTTTAGAAGGAGACGTATGAACATCGAAAAGGCTAGAGCTGCCCAAAACTTTTTTCCAGGTCACTTCTGTTTGCCCTTCGAACATACTCGTGCAGAAGGAACGGAGGCAGTTTGTGCCTGGAGAAGACTACGAGGCCTACATACCTAATGAACAGCAGCAATTCACACATCCTGCCATAGCTCATCCCTTCCTTATTGTCGCCAATCAGACTTATTAATGGCCCAGTTCCAGCATCTGGCTTCCTCACACTACCATCCTGATTGCAGATGTAAGCGGATCTTCGGAAGATTTAATTCCGTAGTTGTAGGTCATTAATCAAATTGATTGAAGTTGGCAATACTGAGAAAACCTCGGGGAATAGACCTTGAATTAGATGCACGTAGTAATAAAAACCTTACTTCTAAAAGAGACAATACCTAGTAAATAATAGGATTCGACAGTACATACAATATATATTAAGGACCGCTTTCTATTATGCATGGAAATGCTATTTTGTCGGAGTACTTTTCTGTGTTGTTTAAAACGTTCTGTTACTGTTTAAAGAATGACGCTGAAATTGAGTTAAATTTTCCATTATTTTCGTCTTAAAAATAAATCATTTTCTCCGCGATTTATCGTCAGTTCTACCTTGAAATTCAGTCAAAAAGACGTATAATTGTTTTTTCTTCGTTTTAGATTACAGCCCATTAAGTTTTTTTTCAATGATTTGGTTGGTATAAGTAACAGTATTCTAGAATTCTACTGGCGTGATTGGCCTATTTGCATGGAATAGTCATCAATTTTCTCCTATTCACAATCCATTTTTCAATATTAAAAACCATGTAAGCATGTAACTATGAAATATGAACGTCTAAATAAAATTCAAATGTCGTCATTTTAATTAACAATGCGGCAGCGTGGGTTGTAAGCATGTTAGCCGAAATTTCACCAGCGGCTCCCTATCATCCCTCCCAAATTCCAAAGGCCAGAAGTCTATCATTTTTATGTAATATTTGCAACTGATTTTGGCCGCGTTTATATTGTAATTTTTTTTTCTAATGTCGTCATAACGAGAACGACTCTGATCATTATTTTAAAAAACTGAGCAAATATTTGTGGAACCAAAACTCAGAAGTATTGGATTATGTGCTCTTTAGTATTTTAGAGCAGATTTTCAACAAACAAGCTTTTCAACAAAGCAACAACAAAAAGATTTTCAACAAAAATTGAGAAAATATTTTTAATAAAAAAAAATGTTAAAGCAAATTAAACCAAAAAAGGATTAAACATTTCCGAAACTTGAAATATTGTTAAAATCTGGACCATATTTTGGTGGTACGACGAAAGCAAAGAATAACAATAATTCTATGCAATTTCAATCGTATCAGTCAATTTCAATCTGTTAGCCTAAGTATCAGTCATTCGATTAAGTGCTTTCAAGATTTTTCTACAATCATGAAAAACAATATTTAGAGTACATTCATTTGAACCTGATGCTTTATAAAAATAATCTAGAGATATTGAAAATTTGTAAGTAAAATTATATTCCTGTTTTTTTGATACCATTTATGTACATTGCTTCTTAATTTATGGGACATAAATTATTAGGTCCGCGACTTTACCAATAGAAGTTTCTTGAAGTAAGAAGATATAGATATTAATATGATTAAATATTCCCGAAATGCATTTCTTACAGTCTAATGCCATTCATAATAGTTCTGATGTTTTTGTCTCAAATATTTGTTAAAATAGATCTGATATAGATCAAACAAATAAAAATAAAGCTCTTTTCAATAAACAATTTTCGCTGCGTTTTATTTCTCCTCCAGAATTGGAATAAGATTCCAAAATGGAAATGGATCATTATAATTAGATATTGTAACAACCGAAATTATTATATATAAATAATTAGAAGGATATGAAAATTTTATTTTTATCCTTTTCCACAAAGCAACCGAATTAAGAAAATTCCAGATGGAATAAAATTCTAATATAGAGTACCATACAACATATTAAGAATTTAATTGGTCTGCATTGACTGCCTCCATTTTTTTTTCTTCTTTTGCTGAGAACTTCTAGGTTGATTCTCGTGGTCTTGTAAAAACAACTTCCTTAGTGACATATATTTACTTTATTTGTCACTTATTTTTGCAGAGTTGACTTTTCAGGAATTCCCAATATCAGATCAGTCTATTGTTTTTTACAATATAATAATTAATTATAAATATATTGCTACACTAATTAATCAGTTCTTGCTTTGTTTTTAAGTTAAATTTATCTATTTCGTAGTACGGCATTGACAAAAGAAGTACGCCTATAAAATACGTAAATTTAAGTTGAAAACAAAGCATTTTATTAGTAGTGTAGTGTTACATTTATAAATAATTTCTAAATTATTGAAAAGAATAGATATTTGTGATGAGAAAACCGTTCCCGAAACGTCATCTTTGTAATGATGGATTACAAATAAAGTAAATATATGATTACTAAGTAAGTTTTTTTCAACCCTCAAACCCCCTTCAAAACCTCTATAATTATATATACAATTTTTTTTCATCGGACAAAATATTCCTCTATTTAAAATAAAATTTATAAAAACTATGACTTTTTTTTTCATTCATCTCCACGTTTGCCTCCCCATTCGACGAATGTGTAAACGCAGTATTAGAACTTAATATTATATGACCAATACAAATTCATTAATATTGTCTGAAGATGTAAATCTATTTGTGAGGAAATCTGTTGAAATTTTATTATCTACATAACTGGATTCTTTGGTTAACAGTCATACATTGATCGAAAAAAACAAACATTTTTTGTGAATGGTTTAAGTGATCAACTCTAAAAACCTGAGCCGTAATCTATTTGAGTAATACAGTCTATATTGACTCTGATTCAAACCGATTGATAATATTTTATAATATGTAATTTGTTTCAATTGAGTTTGATTTTTAAGAAAGTTGTACAAATAGTGAGACCGGAATTGAATTGTTAAATGAAATTCATTCTGTTTTTTTAGTTTAATATTATGATCTAATAAGATATTTGATGATATAGGAAAATATTTTAATATATAGTTCTTTATAATAATTTTATATATTCCTCTCAATTTGATGGAAACGCTGTATCACGTAAATAATTATAGTAATATTCACGACCTATGATTTTTATATTATTATTACAACCATTTATCTCCTAACGTTGAGATAAGTTTGCATTATGCTAATAGTAATAATTTCAGTGGATAATACGAAGGTTTGATGCTGATAATATCTACAGTCCTTCCAATGGGCCTACACATAATCCAAAACTAGAACTAACAATCATCCCATATTTTTTTTTTTTTGTCCTCCCCCTTCATCGTCTTGTAGATAATACGAGTTTTGTTCCCGGGCCAGGAGAGATGGTAGGAGATTAATGTCAAAATTAAAATCTCTTCTGGCACTGGGACACAAACTTGTAATTATTTTATCACGATAAGTTTTGCATATCAGATTGCTGGGCAACCAAGTGTATGATACACGCGTTAGCCCGCTCGACCACCACACCACCACAATGATACCATCTACGTTTCGGTCTGCCGACGGACTTTAGGAGTTTCTTAATCGTCGGTTCAGAGATGATTATCTTTTTAGTGTTTCGTCATATACCGTCTGAAATTTCCGTGTTGTGTTGTGTTTCCGTTTAAGTTACTCATTATATTTAACTTTAGGCCTATTTACTTAACGCTGAACTTCTCTTTAAAAATGGTTTTCAGTTTATGTAGGAATATTTTATCCCACGTTTCACGTCCTGACAAGAAATATAGTTGTTGGGTAATTTCCATATCTTTTCAGGAATATTGGTTCTGTAAATGTTTATTAATTTAGTAATACATAAAAGTAAAAGTAGATAAGTTATAATATTGCTTTCTCACTACCAAACGTAAAAAAGCAGGAAATTAAAAAAAACATTGTGCTAAGAATCGAAAATTTCCACTCGCGCTTTATGTTAAAGGCATCAAGGATCATATTTGGTTCGGTGTCTACCTGTCTGTATGCAATCGAATCGATGTAACGAGCATTTCACTCATTACAGTTTATCCAATTGCCATGAAGTTTTCAAGGATTATACGGATTATGTGCCTAGATGATCCCATATCAATTTTATAAAATTCTATCCAACATTTTCGCTTATGCACGCGGTAAGGTATTTTTTTAGATATACCGATATTTCAGAAACGGCTTGTTTGATTTGGCTCAAAGCTGGAAAAAAGGTAGGTATTAATGAAAAAATAATGTAGTATAAATTTTATTGAATTCCGTCCTCTGCTTTCTTATTATATATGCACAAACGTGTTTTCCTTGATACGTCGATATCTCTAATACCGCTATTTGATTTGGCTCAAATTTGGAGAGAAGTTAACAGATAATCAAGTATGTATGAATTTTATCAAATTTGATCAAATATGTAAAAAAAAAACACTTCCGCTTTCTGATCATTGTTATTTTACACGCGTATAGTTTCAAAGCGTTTTTTTTTTTTTTCGATTTGACCCAAACTTGAAGGAAATTTGGGAAATAGTATAGCAATTGACTTGTATCAATTTCACTATGTCAAACACTTAATTTTTACATACGACCTTTTGCATTAATAGTAGCAATATGCATGTTCAGAATGGATTATATATTTTTTAATCACGAATCATCAAATATGCAATTAAAAAAATGCGGAATTCTTTCGCATTTTAGTATTTGCTGAAAACAAAACTCATGGATATCAAACCCGAGAATGTTGAGGGATTAGTGTATTTCTGAAAACGGCTTATCACAAAGATTTTATTCTCATACGAAAAAATTTTGAACTTGTAATATAGGTATTTTTTTTTAGCAAAAAATCAAAACTGAGTAAGGAAGCTATACTGATCTTCCTTGGCAGACTTTTTTTTTTTTTTTTTTTTATTGGGTTGTCCGATAGATATAAAAATGTAAATCGAAAAAAAATAAAGGTTGAGATGTCTTAAGAAGACTAATAGAAAATTTTAATAGAAAAAAAATCCTTGAAAACCTATCAATGACTGTATCTAATTTGTAGTCGTGACAAAAGTAACAGTTAGAACTCGTGGCCCGACTTGTGTGCACCTTACAATTCATTATCGTAAATATCCTCACCATCGATATTAATTTTACACATTTTTTGGACATGTATTCCAAAGTGAAAAATATATATCAACATATACTATAAATATATATATATTCC